ATGCAGCAGGAGTTGTGCCGGAGTCAAGACTATGATCACGTTGGGAGTTCAAGAGTTCGACGAAAGTCCGGACGGTCATCGGAGGTTCTACGGGAACAAATCCGAGAAGTCCAGGAGCTTGCCAAAGAAGCTCATCGGAACTCGCCAAGTGGATCGTCGCAAGTCCAGGAGTTTGCCGGAAGTCCGCAGGAGCATCACCGAGGGTTCATTGGATGATCAACGGAAGTTTGCCGGAAGAAGCGATTGACGCACCGGAGCAAGTTGCAGTAAATGTCTTAGGAAACATCGTAGTTAGCACAATGATTAAGTTAGAAATGGGAGGTGATCCCATTAACTTAATCTTGGGGCAATTAGGCCCCTAAAAAATCCAAATTGGGCCGAATGGATCAACCCATTCGGACCCTGATTTCTGCCAGGCGGTTGAACCGCCTCAGTCAGGCGGTGACACCACCTGAGCTCGGTCTTCGAGCTTTGGTAGGAGGTGCAACCGTCCCTGACAGGAGGTGGCACCGCCTGAGCTCGGTCTTCGAGCTCTCGCAGGAGGTGTAACTGCCCCTGACAGGAGGTGGCACTGCCTAGAGGCTCAGTCTTCGAGCTCTGCCAGGCGGTGCAACCGCCAGATCCCAGAATTCCGGGAATTGACAGTTTTGAGCTCGGAATTCAAACTGGGTTGGGGCCTATAAATACCCCACCCTTTCAGCACTGAAAGGGCACCCAAACACCATCGAAATTCTGAATTTACTTTGTGATTTTTAGAGCTCAAAAGTGTTGTATGAGTTGAAAGTTCTTCTTCCTCTTTTCTTCCAAGTTCTAATCTGTTAAGAGAGGAAAGAAAATTCTGTAAGGGTTGTCTCCTAAGCCCGTCAAAAGGAGTGAAACTGTAAAAGGGTGGTTGGCCTTTGCCTATTGAAGGAAGGCCTCTAGTGGACGTCGGTGACCTCGTCGGAGGAGGAAGCCAAAAGTGGATGTAGGTCAAGATTGACCGAACCACTCTAAATCTCGGTTTGCATTTACTTTGAGCATCTTATCTTTACTGCAAACCTCCTCAAAAGCTTACTGCCTTCTGCGCATATACGATCGTGTTTCAAGCTCTGCATTTTCCAAATCGGCGTTTAGACGTAAATCGTTTTTATCGTACGAACATCATATTTTAGTTTGCGTTTGCGTTCTGATTTCTATCATAACTGCAAACTGCCTTTATATCTTAGCTTTAACTGCATCTTGCTTGATTACAAGTTAAAGTGATTTACGAATCGGATTTTCTACCGAAATCGCTCTTATCGTACGAACGCGATTTTAATCGTCGAAAGTTTTCCACTGCACTAATTCACCCCCCCCCCCCCCCCCCCCTCCTTAGTGCTCTTGATCCTAACAGTTCCAACTCATAGGCGGTTCCACCACCTGGTCTGGCAGTGCCACTGCCTGGTCTAGCGGTACCACCGCCTAACTTAATTATGGGTCACTGAATGAACCTTCCAATTGGCTCAAATCAATCCTGATTTAGGCTCAATGGGCCCCTAATTGAGTTAATATGGTTACACATAAAACTAGCTTAATTAAGACCTAAACTATAATGATCAAAACATAAATGATTTTTAGACAATAAATCTATATTATCAAGCATGTCATTTGTTCATCTAAACTCTCGATGTATCGTGCTTTCCTTCGACGTATTACTCGATCTTTCGGTATGTTGACTCCCGCAACATCCGATCTTAGCGTAATGTCTGATTCTTTCGGCCCAATGCTCGATCTCTGACTCCGGCCCAACGTATGATTCTTCTGTTATCATTTTATTTTTTCATGATTAAAGTTAGTTCTACATCACTTTTCTCGAATACAGATTAGATCATAAACTCATTAGTTGATTTTATCATCAAAATTCGAGATTAAACATTACGATTCTAACAGAAATATCCTATTTATTAGATCCATAAAAATTATAAGGTCATTAGTCAAGCCAAAAGACATTACTAAGAATTGATAGTGACCATATCATTCTGAAAGTTATTGATAGTGACCATATCATTCTGAAAGTTATTTTTAAGATATCCTCATTCTTAATATATAATAATCAAACTTTAGATTAATCTTACAAAAGATTTGTGCACCTTGAATTGATCAAATAAATTATTAATTCTAAGTAGAGGATACTTAATTTTTTATGATCATCTAATTCAATTATCTATAATGAGTAGCTCACGTGATATGTTGGATCAAATAAAATCTTTATCTAAGGGTTATTTTAATTATTTTTTCAATTTCACTTACTCAAGTGGTTGGTGTAATTCTATATAGAGACTTAAATATTAGGATTATCCTGGGATTAAATCAATAATAATCTTATAGAAAGCAATTGGGTAAAAATTTTTTTTAACATTGGTGATAGTCACTGATATCGGTTATAAGTGACTTTTTAACAAATTGTTGGCTTTAGACGTAGAACGGAGACTGAGCGGCTCTTACACAAGTCTGTATGAAATATTTTTATTATTTCTTAGGTGATGTCAGAGACTTATTAACTAGAACAAACAAAGTACAAACTCTTATATTTACTTCAATATATTTACTTTAAGGGATGTGTCTTCTTATACAGATGTTGGGCGGTAGTACCGTCTACAATATTAATCACTGGTTGTACTATCATCTAGTCTGGGTGAAACTATCGCCTGACAACATGAGAGACTGTGTACTGACAGTACTACCTCTAGTCTGGGCGATACCATCGCGTGACAGTAGCGGTATCATTGTTGGGTCTTTCAGAAAATATACACTTCGTATATTCTAGCTTATAGGTGGTTTCACCACCTGGTCTAGCGGTGCCACTGCCTGGTCTAGCGGTACCACCACCTAACCTAACTATGGGTCACTGAATGAACCTTCCAATTGGCCCAAATCAACCCCAATTTAGGCTCAATGGGCCCCTAATTGAGTTAGTATGGTTACACACAAACTAGCTCAATTAAGACCTAAACTACGATGATCAAAACATAAATGATTACAAGACAATAAATCTATATTATATGGCATGTCATTTGTTCATCTAAACTCTCGACGCATCGTGCTTTCCTTCGACGCATTGTCCGATCTTTCGATATGTTGCCTCCCGCAACATTCGATCTTAGCGCAATGTCTGATTCTTTCGGCCCAATGCCTGATCTCTAACTCCGGCCCAACGTATAAATTTTATGTTATCATTTTATCCTTTCATGATCGAAGTTAGTTCTACATCGCTTTTCTCAAACACAGATTAGATCATAAACTCATTAATTGATTTTATCATCAAAATTCGAGATTCAACGTTACGATCCTAACAGAAATATCCTATTTATTAGATCCATAAAAATTATAAAAGCATTAGTCAAGCCAATGTATTACTAAGAATTCATAGTGCTCGTATCGAGTTCTGAAAGTTATTTTTAAGATATTCTCCTTCTTAATATTCAATTGATAATAATCAAACCGTATATTAATCTTAGAAAAGACTTATGCACCCTGTAATTATCAAACAAATCATTAATTCTAGATAGAGAATACTTATTTTTTTATGATAATTTAATTTAATTATTTATAATCAATACAAAGCTTGTTGGATGAAATGAAACCTTATCTAAAGGTTATTGTAATTATAATCTTAGAGAAAGTAATTAGATAAAAAAATTTTAACATTGGTGATATTCACTGATACCGGTTACAAAGTGACTTTTAACAAATTGTTGGCTTTAGACGTAGGACGGAGATCGAGCGACTCTTACACAAGTTCTGTATGAAATATTTTTATTATTTCTTGGGTGATGTCAGTGACTTATTGACTTAGTGACTTATATTTACTTCAATATATTTACTGTAAGGGATGTGTCTTCTTATACAGATGTCACGCAATATCAAAGTATTATTGGACGTAGTTTATGCACAATCCTATAGAGATACTGTTGGCTGCTGTAAAGCAATTGCTATGATATTTATAGGATACTTTACATTATGGATTATATTTATATGCAAATTTAATCTTTTATTCTTAAATGAAGTATGTAGCTATTTTCATTTGAGTAAGTGGAGATTAATATGTCTCATATTTCAATACATGACCAATTGAGTGAGAATTCACATAAAATTTCTATTAAAGTCTCAATTTCTCTTATCAAATCATATTTATGAATATCATATTTATAGAGATTATATATATTATGAATATCAAGTCATATTTATGAAGATCATACATATCATGAAATTAAATCATATTCAAGAGATCATAAATATCAAATCAAATCAGAGATATTTATTTCTTAATACCATAGAGCATTATTTACATATTTATTACATTTGTTCCTGGTTCTAATCATTTTATATATCATACCATCTGATGCTGATGCTTAATGTGACACGTAGGCACATCAAGTTATTTTAAATAAATTTGGATATTAGATGAAGTGGATCCACGCTCTACTTTGTGGTGGAGTTGATGTGAATACACACACCCAAGATTTTTACTCATGTTGATTTTTCTAGCGCCAATAATATCGGAATTGTCACTGTAGATTGTGAAAACGATTAATCACCATCAACTCGTTCGAATGGGTTAAATGAACTTAGATAGATGCCATATATTTTGCGACACGGGAAAGGAGGAACGTGCTTCAAGCCTCCAACTCTTGTTCTAATCAACGTATAAAAAACGTGAAATGCATGTCAGCATTTGTGTTTGAAAAGTAAAAGATGACTGTACTTTTTTTTCTTTTGAATATATTCCCTTGGTGAAAAAGATTTAAAAAATTTACTTCTGATTTAAAAAAAAAGAAAAAATCTTTAATCAAAACTCAGTCTAAAAATGCATTTATTTTTGGACAACTAAAAGGAAGAGAAGATGCCACGGAGGCTTACCACGAGCGATCTGTATTATAGGCATACACGTATGAACTTGAACGAATATATTCCTTCCCCAAACCCCAAAAAGCGGAATGAGAAATTATATTAATATATAAAAATATATTGGAGTGAGTTTCTTATCTCTTTTTTCTTCTCCACTGCCATCTCCTTTCCGTTCTTCCGTTCCTCACCTCCGCCAGTCCCCGTCCGACACTGCACCATCTGGCCGAGTACAGACTGATTTAACTATCGTATTGACACGGCAGAGAGGGGGGAGGGCACTGCTACCATTCGTTACCAACAGGCAATAGGTAGGAGAGAGCCTTCTCTTTCTCCATGTTCCATCCCCCGATCCAATCTCCTCACCTCGTGTTCCGCTTCTGCCGATCGATCGCCAACTTCTCTTTCGTATTACCCTGCCTCTCCGATCCTTGCCGATTCCTTTTGTTCGGCCTTGCCTCCCAACGCCCCAATTTGTGCTCTTTTCTTCCCTTCTGTCCTCCTCCTCTCGAATCCTTCTCCGAGCACGAATAGTATTTGGGCGTGCATTCTGATTCGAACGTATGACCTCCCGTCCATCAATTCGTTAGATGGGCATCCCATCTTACGATTAAAATTGGGGTTATGCATCTGATTCCGACATACTTCCGTTCGTTCATCATTTAGTATTTGTTAGTTAAACTCTCTTCTTCTCCGCCCAATCTCCTCTCCATCCACCTCCTCCCCCTCCCCGAATTGAGTTAGGGGATGCGGTCCACCACCCCTCCCCGGATCGACCTTATCTACTGATTCCCCAAACTAGTGGCGGCAGATGTCCGGCGCGGCCAAGGCGGTGGAGCACCGAATTGGCTTCCCCACAAAGATGGAGGCGACAGCGCCAGCGGCCGATGGAGAGCAGCAGCGGCGCCCGGGCGGTTGTAATCCTGTGAAGAAGCCGGGGCCAGTGTCCATGGACCACGTTCTCCTGGCTCTGCGCGAGACCAAGGAGGAGAGAGAAGTCCGGATCCGGAGCCTTTTCAACTTTTTCGATGCGGCTGGCGTCGGCCAACTCGACTACGCTCAGATCGAGGCCGGCCTCTCCGCCCTTCGTATCCCTACCGAGTACAAGTACGCCAGGGATCTCCTTAAGGTGTGCGATGCCAACCGGGACGGCCGTGTCGACTACCAGGAGTTCCGGCGCTACATGGACGACAAGGAGCTTGAGCTCTACCGCATCTTCCAGGCCATTGACGTCGAGCATAACGGTTGCATCTTGCCGGAGGAGCTCTGGGATGCACTTATCAAGGCAGGTAAAATTAATTGTCCACTCTGTTGTTCTGCTACATTCTTTTCTTGCCCCCCAAATAAGACAGGAGTCTGCAACGCATGTCGAATGAGCTTTATGGGAAGCATATTATCTGTGCGGTACCAAGATTTCTAGATTCTCGGTTAGTTTACATAACACTGGTGTCAAATATTTCTTCATAAATAGACCAATTTTAGCCACAAGATGTTTGATGACTTTGGCATCCTAAATCTGATGATCATCTTTTTGATATCTGTGGTTCATCATCTTTTTTCTAGACATGGTTTGCGAGCATCTGTTTCGGGCTTTCAATGTCAACAGTGACAACGACATTTCTTCACTTCCCATTTTCTTTCTGTTCCGATTATTGAACTGTTGATTTTAACCTCGATTTCTGTTAATTGTTTTCCCTTGTCCTTTCGCATTTTTTTCACATTGAATCAACGTAGTATAAGGACAGAGGTTTAGCAAACAGATTTTATGTGATATGCATGGTGCCTGTGTCTTTTGTTTGACTTCGACAGATTATTATTGTTATACTTGGTTGTGAATTATTGTTCCTAGTGGTTGTCATTGCACCTGAAGAAATGCTCATTACATTTTTATGATCGATGGTTCTTCTAGGGCAATACGTGTTGGGATGGGAGATCATTCAAATTGTGGTGCTATATTTTAGTCTGTGTGCATGCTGGTGAGAGAAGACATAGATGTCTGGCCTTAATATTCAGGGCTCATGGCTTATTTATCTGAAACTTGTTGTCAGCTGGGATTTCATGATCATATTTGGATTAGATTTGCATTAAACCACTTACATATATCATTTGCGTGCTATCATGACTTCATTAGCAGTTATGAGTGGGCTGCATTGCATGTAATTTGTTGTAGGCTTTCTGCATTGAAACAGGTTTGTAAAAAGCCGTGGAACTTTTAAAAACCTGTAGAAAATCGATAAAGTTGAATGAAAGCAAGGATATGGAATGAATTGGAGGAAGGGGAGCTTCTTGTAGGTAGGTATAAGAAGAAATTACTATCATTAGAAGATTTGGTAACCATGCTTGGAATGTATAAATTCATGAAGTTTTACGAGTTATTTGGAGGAGAAAAATCTGAATTGAGATAAATACAGAGTTCAAGAGTACCAAGATGAGAACGAAGGCAGGGTTTAACTATAAGTTTACATGCATTTTTCATTTTCTTCTCTCCAATATCGAAATTGTGCTCTTCTGAGGCAAGACTTATTTTTGTGGGTGCATTGGTGGGGAGGTAAAAGAGATCTGCGTAGCTTGTTTACCCACTCCATGTTCAAGCGAATGAGGTTTCTGTTCATTTTTTATTGAGTGAGGTCAAGATAGTTTGCTCCGATATTCCATTAGCAATGTCAATTCTAAGAAAGTTCAGACAGTTTCCTTTGATTTTCATAAACAGAGTTCATTAGTTATCTGATCATGGCTGTCACAGTTTTTCGAATCAGAGGACATGAGCATTTTGACGATTAGAAGCATATAAGATCATCTAGGCATTTTTTTCATCTTACCATTATACTGTGAATGCTTCTTTTGTAATCGCTTTTCTATAATGCGTTCAGCATTTTCTTTTACTATATAAGGCCTGTTCGTTTCTCTTCCTCAGGAATTGAGATTGATGATGAGGAACTTGCCCGTTTTGTGGAGCATGTGGATAAGGATAATAATGGGATTATAACTTTTGAGGAATGGAGAGATTTTCTGCTGCTCTACCCACATGAAGCAACAATTGAGAACATCTATCAGTACTGGGAAAGGGTTTGTCTTGTGGATATTGGTGAACAAGCCGCTATCCCAGAAGGGATAAGTAAACATGTAAATGCAAGCCAATACTTGATTGCAGGAGGGGTAGCTGGGGCAGCTTCTCGTACGGCTACTGCTCCTCTTGATCGTCTTAAGGTAGTTTTGCAAGTACAGACAACACAAGCACGTATTGTGCCTGCAATAAAAGACATATGGAGAGAGGGGCATTTCCTGGGTTTTTTCAGAGGGAATGGTTTAAATGTGATGAAGGTTGCACCTGAAAGTGCAATTAAATTTTATACATTTGAAATGCTAAAAGATTTCATTGTCAAAACCAAAGGTGAAGAGAAGAGTGATATTGGTGCTTCTGGGCGTCTGACCGCTGGTGGTTTAGCAGGTGCGGTGGCACAAACTGCTATTTATCCACTAGATCTTGTGAAAACACGGCTGCAGACTTATGCCTGTGAAGGTGGTAAAGTTCCCAATCTTACTACTTTGACAAAAGACATATGGGTTCATGAAGGGCCTCGAGCTTTCTACAGAGGGCTTGTCCCATCGCTTCTTGGGATTATTCCATATGCTGGTATAGATCTTACTGCATATGAGACATTGAAAGATATGTCTAGAACGTACATTCTGAAGGATAGTGGTAAGCTCTTTTTTAATATTTGGTCTTTTTCACATTTCTCTATAATTTGCTTTCTGCAATCTGACCTACTAGACTCAAATGCTATCGTGTAGAGCCTGGTCCGCTTGTGCAACTTGGTTGTGGAACTATCTCAGGGGCTCTTGGAGCAACATGTGTTTACCCTTTGCAGGTTATCAGAACAAGGTAGTTGATGATTACATTGTCGTAGTCTTCTATAGTTAATGCACATTTGTTTATAACTTTAAATAATGTTAAATCTACTATTTACTTGCAGAATGCAAGCCCACACCAATTCATCTACCGCTTATAATGGAATGTCTGATGTGTTCTGGAAAACTCTTCGAAATGAAGGATTTTCAGGATTCTACAAAGGGATTTTTCCGAATCTGCTCAAAGTAGTACCATCTGCTAGTATTACTTATCTAGTTTATGAGACTATGAAAAAGAGTCTAACTCTTGATTAGGCAATTGTTTAGTTTTGCTTAATTTCCGTGATCATTGACATGACTGACTATAAAGTTTATGATGATGATGAAGAGGAGAAGATTACAGATTGAGTAGGTCAAATAATTGTTTCAACTGTGTCATGGTATTTTTTCCTTCACATGGTGAAGATTGTCTGAACAACTCTTTTTAAAATGCTTTTTGGAGTTAATAAGAATGAGCTTCATGAGCTAGCCTGTTCAGGTACTGTTCCTTTCGTTGTAGCTTACATTATTTTTTGACAAAAGTTATTATCAGTACGTGCCACTCAATCTTACTTACCTGAAGTGTTATCTTATCACTGACTTTTAGATGCAGGCCTCTGACTGTGTAGAGAGATTAAATTTTTAGACCATCTCTTATCAGTAATACGCTTTTGACATTCTAAATGTCTCTAGTAGGATGGAAAAGTGACAGATTCTGAGGGAAACTATTCTCAATTTCATGTGCTTACAAGTCATACTAGAATCGATAGGTCATGCAGCAAATGGATTCAGATTGGTGCTTTGATCTCTTTGGTATTTCAAAAACTTTGACACTAGACTATGCTTCTTTCACATATTACAGCATAATGCTCATGTAAAACAGACGACATAGCATTAGAATGTGGATTTCATTTTCCCTAAGTTTATGATGAAAATCTGTAGCTTGACTTTGTTTTCTAATTAATTGCTGTCTTTGATTTTACTATTGTTTAGAAAGGAAATATAACTTTTATTTTTGGATAAATAGATCTAAATGTTTACAGTGAACCCTTTTGCTCTTGATGGATTTAATCTTCAATGCATCTTCCAATCTTTCTTCAGTTGGTCAGATCATGATATTAGGATATCTTTTGGTATCAGGATGTTCTTCAGTTTATATCACTTTGACAAAAATAACGAGCTCTGAACTTTGTGTTTGCTCAATCAATTTGCATCTCAATGTGTCATGTAGTTTTAATTTAACAATCACCATTTTGAAGACCTCATAGAAGATGACCAATTGGGGTCTCGTGTAGGATTGCCGTGCTATAATGCAATAGCATCATCTAGTGGTTACATTATTTTGATGGAGTTCAACTCTTAAGGAACTTGTGACTGACTTCTGATTGAAATTTCTATGGAGAACTATGGCTGAATCATTGTCAAATAGTTATAGACAAAATGTGATAATTTCATAGGAACAGAAAAAGGGGAGGAGAGAGAAGAAAGGAAGGCTTGTTGCTGAGAAAATATTTCGTCTGGTATTCATAAGTCTAATGGCTAGACAATAACATAGTCATTCTATATTTTATCAAGAGCAACTATTAGAATCTTAGATCTCCTTAATTAGGACACGTGGGATAGAATGGATAGTTTAAAGTCATTCGTTTTGCCGAGGGTCAAATTAACATGTTCATTAAGCATAGCCATCTGTGTGCTTCCAGTTTTCTGTTTGTGGACCTCATTGCCTAAGCATTCTGATAACGTGTTGATGCTGGTATCCGACAGGCTGATATTGGAAATTTTGGCTGGGTCTTTTGTGCACCATATATCACTCCAGAGTTTCTATTCACTTACTGTGTTTTGTTCCACTATGAGAAGAGGCTTATGCATCACTGTGTTTGTCTTGTGGTGTTTGTCTTTAATGCTTAAAAGAAATTTGTTCGATTGATGTTGGTGGTGAAATTTTTACCGTTGAGAGAACCTTTTTTTTGTACACAGTAACCTGAATCCTTGCAACTCCAGTTTCCTTTCTTATTTATGCCTTTGCTAGTCTCCTCATGCAACAAGAAGACCACTTTCAGAAGGACTTCCAAAAGGTCTCAATCATGATTCAAGAAAGTTTTTATAGTAATGATGCCATCCAAGTGTAGATTCATATTCAAAGGAGTTTATATGTGGCTCCACCGAGGCTGGTTGCTACCATGAAGTTAGATGCAATACTTGCTAACATTTATGATTTAAACCATGGAACCTTTACGATAAATAGTCTCTAAACTCATTTTTTTTGTTTTTGCCCAATTGATGCCAATGAAATTATGTATTTTATTTAGCTGTTGATCACTTTTTTTTTGGTATTATTGCAGCGCAGATTCGCTAGCTGAAAAAGCAAATCCAAGAAGGAAACTGGTTGTCCTTGACAATATAGCTTCCAAGAGTATATTTAACGCTGTTGAATACATGTTTTCCTAATAGATAACTACGTAGATTATGAAAGTTGGATCCTTTGTAACAACATTAACAGTAATGAAACAATCATACATTAATTTTGCAAATGCAATATCCAACTTTTCTTTTACATCTTTGCCCTGAAGAACACATTCGATGGACGGTTGAGCTCCGGATTTAGTCATCTAGGCTCAAAACGAAAAAAAATTCCAATATATACTCTACTTTGTGATTGACATCTTGTAACGACAACTTTTTTTTTCCTTTACTAACAGTGGGAGTTAAAGGAGATGCACAATGTAACCATAAGTAATATAATAATAGATCCACAAATTCCTCAGCAACATGCTGCAGCCATATGAGGAAGGCAAGGGAACGAGGGCTGGTGACTCGTAGAAGATAGCGTGGCCCCGATGGTCTGCGGGGCATCCCCTCCTCCTGTGACGGTTGGTAGTTACCTCCCTTGCTCCGAAGTGGGAATCAAAGGAAGAGAGACATGCCGAGAGATTGGTTAGGTCCAAGGAATCGATTCCTTTGGTCGGATTGCTTCAGTCGCGATCTCTCTCCTTCTACCTTCTACTTCTCTCCATCCATCCATCCATCAATCCCTGCTGCTTTTGGTTCTTTGCTTTCCTTTCGACGGCGTATCGTGGTGCTGGTGGCGGCTGGAGGCCAAGAATCTGATCTATGGCATGCCCCCAGATAAAGCAAGCATCCCATTGTTGCTACACATGGCATCCTCCTCCGAAACCTCTGCAGTTCTCATCGCCGTCTCCTCCTCGTCCTCGTGCGGCTACGACGCCCCTCCGCTGCCTATTGCTAAGGAAAGCATGCGGGATTCTCGATCTCCACTCTTCTTCTGGTGCCTCGTCTTCTTCTCCCTTTCGCATCATGGTAAGCTTTTGCACCTCCCGTGCCCACTCCCAAGCTACCCTCTCTTCGGTCGGTTAAAGGCGATTGCATCCCCCAGTTTTGATCGATCAGGACTTTTAATTTGCTATAAACAATTGATTTTTTTTCTCTTTTGTTTCGATTGTACAACTTGCTCCGTTAAATCCTCATGATCCCGTCACTCCTTGAAACCTCTTATCAATCCTTGTTGAATTCTGCCTTATTATTTTCCATCGTACTAGACAATCATAAAAGCTTCCATTCTTTCTTCTCCTGTTCTTCTCCTTTATTATACCTTTCATCTGATATCACTCTTTCCATGTTAACGCTGATTGCTTTTTGATCATATTAGGAACCGTTTAATCTTCTCTCATGACAGTTTGCATTTTATTTTTGGTTTATCATTCATTTTCCAATTATTCCTTTTGGTACTTTTGATATTTTAAAACACCAAAACGTAATTTTATTTGTTTTTTCATCCAACCGAAATTTATAAAAGTCCGCTAATGAATTTAATAACATGATTCTATCGAGGGTTGAAATATGAGAGTCATACAATAATAATAATAATAATAATAATAATAATAATAATAATATAGGCACAAATGTTGTGTTAGTAAGCATGCTGTTTCTGTTGATATGAAGGCCCACTGAAGGTTGAGGCATTTACTGGAACCTATGGGATAAACTATGGCAGGATTGCTGACAATCTTCCTCCACCTGAAAGCGTCGTCACACTTTTGAAATTAGCAAAGATAAGGAATGTGAGAATCTACGATGCGGATCACAGCGTGCTCAATGCATTCAAGGGGTCTGGGCTCGAACTGATCGTGGCCATCGGCAATGAGTATCTAAAAGACATTAGTGTGTACGAAGATCATGCTATGAGTTGGATCAAGGAAAATGTGCAGCCATTTCTGCCGGACACCCACATCACAGGAATTGCAATCGGGAACGAAGTTTTAGGAGGCACAGATGAAGAACTGGCAGGAGCTCTTTTGGGTGCCGCAAAAAATGTGTACAATGCCCTCGACAGGCTTAAATTGGCGGGTGATATCGAGGTGTCAACGCCACATTCCGCGGCTGTGTTCGCTAATTCCTTCCCTCCCTCATCTTGCATTTTCAGAGAAGATGTCCTCGTCTACATGAGGCCCATCTTGGATTTCTTTTCGAAGATCGGTAGTCCCTTCTATATCAATGCATATCCATTTTTAGCTTACAAAAGTGATCCTGAGCATATCGATATCAATTATGCTCTTTTCCGGTCGAATGCCGGAATCCATGATGCGAAGACTGGCCTGCACTATGACAACATGTTCGATGCTCAAATAGATGCAGCTTATGCTGCTCTCGAAGCCGCCGGTTATGACAAGATGGAAGTCCGGGTTTCGGAGACAGGTTGGGCTTCCGGTGGGGATGAAAATGAAGCTGGAGCCACTCTTCAGAATGCAAGGACTTACAATTTTAATCTCCGGAAACGACTTTTCAAGAAGAAAGGGACTCCACGGAGGCCAAAGATGGTGGTTAAGGCTTATGTTTTTGCTTTGTTTAATGAGGATTTAAAGCCAGGACCGAGTTCTGAGAAGCACTACGGGCTATTCAAGGCCGACGGGAGCATATCCTACAATATTGGCTTACATGGCCTGAAGCCTTCCAGTGCATCTCCATCTCTCTTGTCACTCACGGTATCAGTTTCTTGGATTCTTCTTAGTAATATGCTTCTGCTTTTTGGAACTGAGAATCCCTGACCACCCTGTTACATTAAAGAATAAACAATATTGTATTAATTAGTATAAACGATAACTGAGGCATGATTAATTTAGCAGTATTTTTTTCCCTGTGAATTCATTAATTAGAAGCTGCTGGCTTGAATCGACTAACATTCTACTTTGGGTGGCACGATCGCAGAGAATTCGTACACGAAGTTGCCTAGGACCATCTGCCATGGTTCTCACATGTTACGTAATGGTTATTCTAGCTCTGATGATTTGATTTAGTTTGGCAAGACAAGAAGAAGACTGGACTTGGACAGCGTTTGTTGGATCCTCTTACCTCCTGTACTATCTACCATGGACAGCGTTTGTTGGATCCTCTTACCTCCTCTTACCTCCTGTACTATCTACCATGGCAAGGCTCATGAGAATTGTGTAGGTACAAAGTCTCTAAATGATTTAGGACATGAAGTAGCTGGTTTCCATTGATATTCCAATGCCGTTCATTAGTTGGATCAAGTATCTCAGTGCGCTCTTTAGTTCTATACTAATAGACACAAGTTTTTTTATGAACATTGTAAGATGAGAAATAAGTAATTGTTTCATTGTTTTCAATCAATGTCGGCAATCATATTCGCTGAAGCTCTTCACTCACTATTGGGATGCTTATGATAACGCTTTTATAATAACTCTTTCGTTGATCGTTCATTGATCATCTGAAGTGAGCGATAAATTGAATGGCATAAAGAAAAGGATATTGGCCACATACATTGGAGGAGATTATACAAGTATACCGGACAAAATTCAGCCGAATACCCCTATGTCGCATGATATATATATATATAACACCAAAGGCTAATCAACAGCTAATGATGTTATGTTGATCGTATGATGATGAACGAAAGGTTAATCAGTAATCAGTTAAACTAATAGAGTTCTAACGATAAATGAAAATTAAATTTATGTACATGAAAATTAAAGATTCTATTGACACATTGAAATTAGCTATGCATATTTTCTTGGGCATTCATGGATCCCCGCTTTCCAAAAATTCTCTAGTCTTTACATAGAATATAAAATTAGGATACCTTATTTTTATTTGAGGCTTCATGCGAAAGAAAATAGAGATGATGGTTAAATACAACTCTTTTGGCAGATTATAAAAGTTCCATATGATGTCATATATTATTACTCGATATAATTGTTCAAAGCTTGGGGGTAAACTCGATCAGTCATTGATCATCTGACATGCATAAAGCCAAATGTAAAATTAGAGGTCCTATTAAACGCTTCTTAAGCGATTCTAGCAATGTATGAAAGTTAAAACTTGGTCATACATGCAGGTCCAAAACACCGTTTTGTATTATGATTTCAAATACGACAGTATTATGCTTCCGTGGATACATACTTTAAAATTTTCTTCGATAATAGTTAAGATTTTCGAAATATTATAATTATTTCGAAATTAAATGATGGGATATAAGACAGAAGTATATGAACAAATACTAGCAGGTCATAACACGCAGCGAAATTAAATGGAATCATAATCAAATGGAATACCAAGATTTACGTAGAAAAACCCTCCAACATGAAAGGTAAAAATCATGAGGTAAACTAGAGATAATCCACTATAAGAATAATGAATATATAAACATGGAAGATTATGTTTGGGATCCCACTTCACCTTATATCTGTTTGATATGATATCTAAAGCTTTGGTTATATGCTTCTATATGTGCTTTGGATAAAAATGAAATGTATGCAACATCAAATGCGATGTTTGAGCTTCTATTTTGTATTTGTTCTTTGATATGTTCTGAAATACTTCTTATGCTTCTGATGATGGGGATATAAACAGGAATAACCTTTGTATAGGAACAAATACTAGAAGACCAAAATACGCAGCGGAATAAAATGGAAACACAATCAAACAGAACACCAAGATATACGTGGAAAACCCGTTCAATGTGAAGGGTAAAAACCACGGGGCAAACTAGAGATAATCCACTATGAGAATAATGAATGTACAAATCTCAATCTCTCGCCCAAAACCCTAGCAACAACCACAAGAGAATAACTGGGATACAAGGATCACGTCACTGCCCACAATATCTAAAACTCCCAAGTAATCACAGCAAGAGCCTACTGTAGATTTGATCTAACCTGAGATGAGAACACTGCTAGATGATTGAGAACAGTCTCTCTGCGTTGTCTTTATCTTCTTCCCTTTCTTTCTCTTCCTTTTCTGTCTTGTTCTCCTTCTTCTCTTTGGAATCTCGTGGCTCCAAAGATATGCCTCGTTGCTGCCTTTTTATAGCTTTAATCTGCCTCTAAAACGCAGCCACCACACCCCCCTAATCTTAATTAGGGTTAGGTTAAGAGGGGGTGTGGGCTGTGTGTTGGGAAATCATTGGGGGCGACATCATATGCGCAGCGGAAGAACAAGAAAACAAAATCCCCGATTCCCAAAAAGATGTTCGTCGTCGTGCGAAGATTGGTGTGCAAAAATCCGCAAAACACAAAACTGCGTATAGAGATTGTGTTACCTAGGGAGATCGTATATCCCTGTTTCCTTGCAGATCCTTAGGAGAGGGTGAAGGAGGTCAAGCGTCCTCCTCTCTAGCGGTGATCCACACAGCAGGGTTGCGACGACGCTCCTCAAAACTCCAGGCCTACTCTAAGGTGGAGAGGGAGAGGAGAATAGGAAAGGCAAGCAAAGACTATAGCCTATGAGGCTGTGAATCCCTCCTATTTATAGAGATCCCGTGTCAAACCCTAATGGGTCCTTCCCTAGTGGGTATTGGATCTGCATCCAATAAGACAAGGGCTCCGTCGGATATCTCATATCCGAACCTCTACTCATCGCAATGCCTACCATATGTGTGTGACCCTCTAGGCCCAATATCGAGTTGGCCGTGAGTCATACCTGTCAGAACTCCTTCTGACTGAGTGAATTATTATCTCTGTAATAATTCACTTGACTCATCAACTACGGACGTACTAGGCCACTACGCCGTAGTCCCCAGACGATACAGGGGAATCCAATCCATTGGACCTATCTGTCCTCAGTTACCATGTACCTATAGTCCCTCATTCATCTAATATCCCAGAGACCGTATATCGAGCATGGTGTTGTCAGACCCATACGGTTTCTACTCGAGTCTCGCTCTAATCGGATTCTCCCGGAGAATTCTTTCTCTCTCAACCCGAATGACCCTAGCTAGGGATTTGTCTGA